GAGCAGGATGCAATAAATGTTTACATCTCATGAGTACAAACCTCTCATCCATGAGTAGATGCACACTTCCTTCTGCGCGGTGATACAGTTAGCAGATGTAGTTCGGTAGAAAGAAAATAGTTCCTACATGAAATTGTTAACAACAAGGTATGCGGATTATCGTCTATCTGGTGACCGGGTCATGATTTCTGGAAAAAGACATTGCTGTTGAGTTTTTGGCACTTTGAGCACCACAATAAGGCCCCGATCACGCAGAAAGCATTTTAGCAGCTGGAGGCGCCTTTTTGTAATTGTTTTTAATGAGAATGAAGCTTTTTGCTTGCAGGTTTACGTTGGGCTGCACCTCGTGTTTCTGCGCTCAAGGCACCTGGCATTTTTTGAGTTGAAAAAACTTCAGTTCAGAGCGGAAAAGCACCCCACATCATCTGTTTTTTCCGATTATCCAATCCAACACATTCTCACTCCGACGTTGTCACATATTGCAATTGGTCATGAACTTATATAAATGCACTACATCGGTACGCATAGACTTTTTTTCCTTCAACATCAAAATCACAGTTAGGTATAAGAAAAAAGAACAAGGTTTGGCTTTACAATCTTTCAGGATGTGAACACCGCTCTCCCAGGTGAAAGTCACCATCACCCCTCCCGTCCACCCTCCTTTTGCCGCCTTAACTTTAGTTTTTGTCCCACCACGCTTTCCCCTGACACTGCTGTTAAATTATAATGGCTTTCACCCTCAACCAGAGCCACAGCAAGTACCCTCTGTGCCCATTTTCTAGTCCCTGTTGAGTCAGCCCACCAACATGAGCTTAATACTTTCTAAGGATCGTCTGGTTTACCAAACTAATAAATACCCCATATATAAACACAAAACTGCTTTGCTAATAGTGATTATTTTAAAGATACTTCGGAGATCATTTAATAAAAAAATAGAGGTTTATACATGAAAAGTACGCGTCATTTGAGGTGGTTCTCTCATAAAAAATCCTTCCAACTGTAAAAAAAAAAAAAAAACTGTACAAATCCATCATCTTAAAATGGTAAATGGCAGTAAAACCTGATTTAATATCATTGCCTTGCCCGACCAATCACCCCTGTCAGTGTCAGCAGCAGAGGGTCTTCCTCCTGTCTGTCCTAAAGCAAGCTGTGCTATAAACCCATTATATTCATATTGCTTTATGGAAATATAAATCATCAGCTGCAGTGGTCCCCGGTGGAATGAGTGGCGTCTATAAAAGTGTGTGCTTGAACAAGGATGGTGTCATAAAGAGTGTGTCAGCGTAAGGAGCCCCCCCAGGGTTCAACCAAGCATAGCCACATTTTTTACTCAAACAGGAAAAACCTGATAAAACGTGCATAAAAAATGTGATTTTAGTTTTTACTCTACACTGCTGTGAAAAATTAAAACAAAGCAAATAAACTGCTGCAGAAACATAGCCAACAACAGAGACCTTCATCAAATCATCCCACGTCTTCAGCAGATTGTAAACCCCATAATGAAGCTACCTCACCTTTTGGCTTCCTGCAAGACTGACAGAGTCATTTTGTTGCGTAACACTGATGTCCTTTGCTGGTTCAATACCTGGACGGTTCTGTCCATTAACATTTTAACAGCAGCTTGTCCACAAATAACAGTCAGGCTAAAAGGCTCAGCGGCAGTCAGACTGTCCCTCCTTCTGCTGTTTTTAGCTGATTGATTATTATACTTCAGGCCGTGTACTACTCCTGCAAGGAGGGTCATTTCTCTGTCATTTGTATAGATTTTTTTTACCTCTAACTTCAAAACAAACCCAACTGGAGCTGTATGTAACCTCAGCCGGCAGCGGGTGAAATTACAGGACAGATTAAACATTCAAGATACAACATGACAGAGTGAGGCTAGCTGTTTCCCTTTGATTCCATTCTTTATACTAAGCTAAGCTAACCTGCTGTGGGCTGCAGCTTCATATTTACAGTACAGACATGAGAGTGACAGTTGTGATAAAATATTTCTATAACAGCAAGATGAAAGCCAAACTGAAAGCTCTGAGTGCACTGATAGATGCATGCCCCTATCGATGAGCAGCATTATTTGTACGACACTTTCCAAAAGTCTTTAAAGGGGTAACTTTGGCGTTTTCTAACCTTGACCCTATTTTCCCATGTGTTTGTGTCTAAGTGACTAATGGGAGCAACAGTTAAATTGGTCCAGTATTGAGCAAGAGGACTGCAGCAGGCAGCTGTGAAACGGGCGAAAAAATCTAAGTCAGGGCATGTTCGCACTGTCAATGTACGTCAACTAAAGTGTCTGACAACATTATGGTAAAGATTCCCTGAAGAGGTGGACCTCTTTGTTAAAGTGTAGGATCCTTTTGTTTAACCAGAAACAGCCTCAAAATCTCCGTCACCAAACCCACCAGACTCCATTAAAATAAACAGTAATTTAAAGCAACCCTTACCTATCTTGCATTTCACACAGCTCTTTGAAAAAACTTGAACAGCAAACACTCCTCCTCCCTTGTATGCCCCACCCACCTCTTCCTCCTAACCCTAACCACTGCTGAGAACTACCTTTGATATGCACAACTGATGCTACAAAGTCAAAGCGTGCACAGAGTTCTCAGCAGCAGAGTTCTCAACATTTGATCAGAGCTGCAGTAAATTCAAACATCAATGGGCTGCCACCAATATAAGCTAGAACTCATGCATGCTATATGGAAACATGCATGGATTTTGGCTTTGAAGCAACTTGGTGCTTCTAGGCCAGTTCAATAAGCAAGTGTTTTTATGTGGCCTTTTGCTGACATCTAGTGGAGACAGAGAGCAGTGATATAAAGGGTGGGAAGTAATGTGTGTGTCTGTAATGATTTATTCTGAGCAGTGACATCATTCCTCAGGGAATTACAGTATCTGATCCAGCCAGGTGTGTGACAACATACTACATACAGTGTGATGTACTGTTTCCCCTGTAAGATAACATTCCCTCTGCTCACTGTCGGCTGCGTAACTTATCAGCTCCCAGAGTATCATCTATTCGACTGAGGCATATCTGTTGGTGGTAAATGTATTTAATCCTGAGACACAGTTCTGTAACTGAAAGGACAAAGATTTGATCCTGGGAGAAAGACGAGACAAAAGACAAGCTCAGCTAACTGAGGTGACACAAACGTAGATCAAAACCTGGCATCGGGTGCTTGTGGAGAATGAGAAACAACAGGATGGACAGGAAGGAGGCACTGAACACATTAAACCTTTGGTCATGGGAGTGACAGAAAACAGAATCTCAATAAAAGTGAAGCTTTCTGGATCCATCAGCTGGATGCTTTAAAGTATCCTGGTCTCAATGAGGGTACAGACGTCACATGTTTTTTGTGATTTGTCATTATTCTTTACAAGCCATTATGTGGGTCATGTGATGGCCTCCGATTGCTTCCTGCCACTATATATGGGGCCATACCTGCGCTGTATGTTTTGAAAGCCCTGACGAAGGCCTGTAGTACGAAGCAGGATTTGGAGTTAGCGAGGTAACTTAAGGGTTAACTCAGGGTTTTCAGTACTATGAAGCTGGTTCTCTTTTTACCAGGATAAATCACCGTGGTAACTTGTGCTGCTCCGGGGCAGGTAATGTTCACGGTATCGTATCACAGCCCGTCAACACAGTGACCTCTGACCAATCAGATCACTGAAGAAAAAAGTATCCATGGACACAAGTCTGGAGTCTGAGGTAAAAAGGAGGAGCCTATATATTGTTAGAGGTCAGGAGAATCATGTAATTGTTTCAGGGCTCTGTTTCCACTGGTTTTAAAACCGAGCTTCTCACAAACGGAGAGATCGTTTACACACTAAACACAGGATTTTAACTTATGCAGTTTGTTTTAGTCTGCAGTGACAGTGTTGATATTTTACACTCTGCTTCCACCACTGCAGCTCAAAATAATGAGACACCTGCGTGATGAGAACGAGGATAAACCAGATTTTATTAATAAAATAATCCACACACTGTTAATTTGCTCCTGTTATTATAAATGCAACGTGTGGGTAAGAAAGATGTCCTCAGTCAGTAACTAGGCTACTTTTCCACTCTTTACTTCAGCAGCAGAAAGAGTCTGGTGTTACTTTAAAGTTTTATGGGACATATTCAGAGGAGTTCATCATCATCCAATTAAACATCAAAAAATACTGTATACTAATGTCACATAGGCCCATAGCTCAGTCATATCTGCACGTAATTCTCGGATGACAGTGAATTTATAGAGTGTTTTCAATGTTTCTAGACTTGTTTCTACCGTCTCATAGTTGCAGACACTTTCGCTACCATTTCATCTCATATCATATGAAGCAGCCTACTTCAGTCATGGCTCTGATGAGGTCGCTCGTAATCAACACTCCCGCCTCTTTCACATGAACATGCTCGTGGCTGGATAGGAAAATAAGAGTTGACTGAACTCGTTTATAACCAGCTTTGTAGTACCTGCTATCCAGACAGCCAATGTTAGGTTTAGTCAAACCAGATTTAAAAAAAAAAAGATATCCAGGGGAAGTTGAACTGGCTTCGTGGTACAGGCCTCTGCAGTGGTTGACACGTGTTGGCTCTTTTAATGATTTAGTCACTACAATAAAGGCTTTTTCAATATTTCCCTCCTTGTTTTTCTATATTTTTTCAAAGTGCCTGGATCGCCTTCCAGACGATAATTTTGTTGACTTTGAATGATGACTTGTTTAAACATGACTGTTTATCAATGGGGCGTTGGCAGCTTAGTGGATAGAGCAGGCGCCCCATGTACAAGGTAGCAGCCTGGGTTTGACTCCAGCCTGTGGCCCTTTGCTGCATGTCATTACCCCTCTCTCTCCCCCCTTCACGCTTAACTGTCCTATGTATAAAGGCAAAAATGCCCCAAAAAATATCTTAAAAAAAAAAAAAATTGTTTATCAATACCATATCAGCAAACATTTAAATCCATACTGTGGAGAGTAAAAATGACTGTTTTGCTTTCAATCAAACAGACAAACAAATGATATAACAATAGATAAATTTCAACTTTATTCATTCACAAAAAGGTTCATCCAGTGGTTATAAAATAGAGCTTAGTCTATATTTAAACATCTAGAACAGTACAACAGAACAAAGACCACAAATGAGACAAAATCAAAGAGTAAAACCTCTGACGTGCACAGAGAGAAAGAAATAACACTGATCATTGAAGAAATGTTAGATTTACAAATTCAAAAATTAAATAACTATAAATCTGTGTTGTGTGTGCTGACTCGAGTAACGTAGGATTAACTTGATTAGTTTGAACAGAGGCTTTGTGGTAAACAACGGTTTACATTCATATAGAGTTTCATGAGGGACACTTGTGTGTATTTCTCAACAAAAGGGGACTTTGTTTTCAGTAGTAGGCAAAGTGCAGACGTCTGGAGGTGTTAGAAAGGATGTACCTGTGAGCATTAGTCCATTTTCACTGACAGTAGTACAAATATATATATACTCGGTAAAGCTGACAGAAGAGGGAAGGAAGGATGTGTATCTTCATGTAATAACCCTTCTTCAAAGCACACTCGTGAAAGCATCTCAAATCCAAACTGACCCCACATGAGCCCAAACCAGACACTTAAAATATCAAACACTAACAATAAATAACAGCATTCGCTCAGTGCAAAACTACACAAAAATTGGAAAATATAAACTATTTTGGCACCAACAAAGACGACCTCACAGGGTCAGTGACGTCACAAACCGACTCTTGAATATGAGCACTCGCTTAAAATCAGGTTTTCAAAGCAAACCAGCGTAAATGTCTCATTACGTTCAATAATGAGACGTAAAAATCATCCATCTGAATTATCTGAAAACATGTCATTCATCAATGACTATAATGTATCACTGCAGACCGTCTACAGGATGTTGAGGAGACATGATCAAGCCCTATTTGCACGGGATTCACAGGTTTTTGTCCAAAAGTGGGTCGTGGGTCCATTCTGAATGGACCACAAGTGACCCGCAAACATGTCAAGTTTGTAAAAAAAACAAACAAAAAAAACAAAACAAAAAAAACACACTTTATTTTTAAGTACAGTGAATTTCCGGCACAGAGCTTTTATTCTGAAGTGCCATGTCCACCTGTAGAATGAGTGAGTGACTGACAGCTACTTGACAGAGACAGCAAACCAGCTTGACGACATCGCCAAACACAAATATGATGCTGAAATATATTAAACTGTGTGGACCTTGAACTAATGACTAAGGAGAAATCTGGACCTCATGGCTGGACCAGGTGGGAACCACTGTTGTATACTCATGACACACTGCTAACTTGAATCTGTCATAACCTGCCACATCTATTTAAATGTCTAAAGGTTGTGGTTCCTGTTTATGGTTGTTACTGTATTGTGTAACTTCCTGTTTTCAGGTCACTGAAATATTTTCTAGTAATTTGTGTTAATTGATTTGTCAAGTAAAAAATCTTCTGCAAATTACCAAGTTATTTCTCCAAACACAGAGGTCATGTGATAAAATAAGTCCCGCTGGGGTCACATCTTGGGTTTTTGTTTCCTCCGCGCCTCGTTTCTGCCTCTTTTTATGTAAAGTTATGTAGACTGTGTGATTCAAAATGAAAGCTGTGACAGTATTCAGGAGCAGGAGGTGGCAGAATCGGTTCTGTTTTTGTAACCCACATTTAAAAAAGAAATGAATGAAGGAGGAAATGCTGTAAATCACTGCTAGCGGTGTGTGTAGTGTTTGTTGTGCTAAGTGGAGTTGCAAATGAGCATGCTCATCATATTTGGGGAATAATGCTAGTAAACTTGAGTAAAATACCTACAGTATTTCGCTTATACCGTGTGAATATGCCTCACAAAGCTACACCTTTTTTTTTTCCCATTACAAATTCTGATACTTGACACTGTATTGGTCAGTAACAAGTACCACTACTAACCCTGTATGGATGCAAAATTATTGCTGGCATTGTTGTATGGTACGGCTCAGGTTAAACCCTAAAACTAGTGGGACTTTCCAGTGTAAAATATTGCCAAGTTGCTGACATTGTGAAGTCAACGTTAAACTATTCACTGGAAATCAATTCATCTTCATTGCATCATAGTTGCCAGCGGCTGAACAGTGCATCTTGCTGTTTAGGCTACTGTTTTGGAACCGCGAAGAGAACTGATTTCCACGAAAACTGCTGCTTATACAAGTTCCTTATTAAATCACCCTGTATCGGATCGATGCATAAACTTGTGTACTTGCTGATTGGGTTGAGCTGAGTTCTCGGATAAATAGCGTATTCGGTACAGATAATACACTTTTTTATGAGTATCAACCGAGTAAAATGTGTCAATATCTGCAATGAAGGAAAATCGTCAATAAAGCTCAATCCTGAGATGATTCTGTAAATAGTTTTCTGATAAATAATTAATACAGCAACTTCTGATCAATTTCAGGCTTCAATAGCAACTTCTGGTTCAGTCCCACCCATTTCCAGTTTTAGCCACACCCACTTCTGGTTAAATCCCACCATTTCCGAGTACAGATACAGATACCAATTAGTTGGTTGAACAGATACACATAATGGTGAACTCGCTCATCCCTACTCGCCAATACCAGAGCCAGCATTGTAAGCAACATCGAAGGCATTTCCGATATTGGTAAAGGAACAACTCTACACAAAACCCAGATGTGCAGATGTGGGAGTTAATTTCTAAATCCCGAAGACAGCCCGTAATACCAGTCCCGTGCAAACAGGGCTTTAGAACAGACAGTGACATACTGAATGTTATAATGTTTTTGCGAATAAAAAGCAGCGGGTTTTCCGTGTACCAGCCAACACAGATCAAATCAGTTCTTCTCACTGGGACTTCCTCTCCTCAAGCTGGCAGTGACTGTTTAATTTTATTTTGAAAATCTCCTGTTGTTCTGGCTTTGTTGACCCGTACATTAAGTGTCTGGGGGTGAGGTCTGTGAAAGTGTAAAGCGCAGGAAAAATCCTCCAATAAGGCATTTTTTCTTTTCTGTTCATTATACATTACTTTCTATACGACCGAAAGAAAAGGAAGTTCAAGAATCCTTTCAAGATAAAACATTTCACAAAGATCAGGGGGAGCTGTTTTTTTCTTCAAATGTTTTACACCAGGAGCAGTTTTACATTAAAAGTGTCTTTCGTTAATAACCCAACAGACCTGTATATGGGGGTTTCCTTGTGTCGTCACGGTGACCATTTTGGCATCAAAGAATAAGGGAGACCTCTTGGCCCTCGATGGTGTCCTGCATAGAGCTTATGAGGCATCAGGTGGTCATAGTTCAAGTGTGTAAGAGTGTAAGAGTGTGAGTGTGTGTGTAAGTGTACTATGTCTGGGCCAGCTGAAGTTCTTCCAGTCCATGTTTGCCCATGTGATATCTGGCCAAGTCTTTTCTGGTCACAAGTCCAATCACCTGCAGTGGGTCACAACAATCAGCGTCATCATCATAATGGCACTTGATTCATTACATGTTATTTTAATCAACAGATGAGGAGGTGTTCCTGTGAAGATCAAAAGCACACAGAGAAATGAAAGTAGGGCATTCAGAGATAGACACACAAACACACACTCTTACCCTGTTTTCATCATCCACCACGACCAGGTGTCTGAGGCCCAGCGCTCTGAACAGCTTAAACACACGAGGCAGAGATGTTTCCTGCAGACAGACCACCTCATTTTAGTCCAACTACATTCACTTGTACACAACTTTTATACAAACCTTTAAAAAAGGGTTTAACAGAGGGAAACAAAAACAGAAAAAAGACCGCAACACTAAAAACTTAATGGTGTGTTCATACCTAAGGCAAAGTGAATTTTCCAGTAACTGCAACTGAGAAATATCCGTCCCTAACAGCTGTGCTAACAGTTGTGCTTACTAACTGGAAAGGCAGCTAATGGCTAACTTTGCTGTAAAGTACAACCTATAGCTGGAATGAAGTGATGTGAGCACGGAAACTAAAGTGAACCGAGAGGGCAACACGTTTTATTAACGTTTACTTTCCACAATAAAAGACCAACTTAAATGACTAAATTATTACAGCTTACACAAGTCTCAAATACACATTTTCAGAACTTACCAGGTAGTCCTATGGCTTCACTCACTAATTACTAAGACCTCTCTTTGTTTGTCCTGTCTCTGTACAGTACTGACGTTGGGTCGTAGAGCTCCCACAGATAGCAACACCATTTGTCCTCCATTTCTGATTCTCGGTAACGTCAGGAGAATCTCAACTAGATCTCAATGCTAATAGGCTTTTGCGACACAGTGTCGCAAAAGTTGAAAAATGTCAACCCGCACAGATACAGTGAATTTGTAATCTCACCGCACGAAATGCTCGCTTCACATTCACTGTGTGCACACCCCATAAATTTAATAAAACAAACAATAACCGTACTAAAGATAAACAGAACAATAAAAGACGGTGGAACATGCAAAGTTTTTTAATATTTGTAAATATCTTTATTTTTTTTTTACTTTTATTTGACTATTATTATTATTATTATTATAAATTATTACCTGTGGTACAGTGTAAGGCGTTGCGTTCATGAACTCCGTGAGGTCCATCATACACTCCCTCTCGTCCTGGGAGACGTGAATGCTCTGGATCGGGGGGAAGCGGGGATAGGCGTCCCTGAAGTCCTTCAGCTGGAGCTTCCTCTGCGTCAGCCGGGACCGGGCCAACTCCACAAACACCTGCCAGGACGGAGCAGGAACAGACACTGACTGACTCCATTCAAATCATCACAACACAGATGAACATCTTTTTTTCTATCGCTGATGTTACCTTGTGCTTGAGGAGAACGATGAGCTGAGAGCGGAGGATGAGGCCGCAGAGCTTCGCTGGCTGAATGACAGAGAAGAACAAAGGTTTCATTAATAAAAGACAGTTTCTATTTGCCTTGAAGCTACATCCCATTCTGGTACACTATTATCTGTGTGTAATATTCTTCAGTGCCAGTCATCCTGAAAGTACTCTGATGACATGCCTGAAGTTGCAATGTACCATCTATACTGCGGTTATTCCCCAGTCTGACCCACACAGTGGGAATTGGCCTTTTCCATTCAACTCTGGACTTGATACGAGGAGGAAGTGGGCAGTAGGAGCAGCCATAGCTTCCTCAAACAGGTCCTGCGTCAGCATTGCATTCTGATTAGGGGTGTCTGAAACCAAGACTGAAACCGTAGAAGTGTACACCCTCGGTACCTAACCCGCTGCCACTGTGACCGCTGCAGCCCGTTGAGTTCTCATTAGGCTACGTTAAAAGGCAGAAGTCTCAGGACAGCTTCTAATGAACCTGAGACTGCAGATGTCCTGGGCACAATCAAGTCAGCAGTCAAGGAACTAGTGATGTGCGCGTCCGCACACAAGTTGGATCCAGCTAGAAAATTTAACTTTGGGCGAAAAACCATTGTTTAGAGTTAAGTTATTAATAACTTAGAGAAACACTGCATACAACAGTCCACCTTCCACCTTCTCTTATATTTGCCTTGAAGCTTCATCCCATTCTGGTACAAGAACATCTGTCTATAACCTCCCTCAGTGCCAGTCATCCTGAAAGTACTCTGACTATGCGCCTCAAGCTGTGGTGTACCATCTATACTGCTGTTATTTCCCAGTTTGACCCAGACAGTGGGAACTGTCCTTTTCCATTCAACAGTGGACTTGATATGAGGAGGAAGTGGGATCTTGCCCTCTCTCAAATACACACACACAAATGAAGCCGCTACGTCAGTTTTGAACAAACTGGACAGAATATTTTGGCTAAAAGAAGAACAAACAACTCCACTTAAAGCTTTCTTGAGAAGAAATGTGTTTTGCGTACTTCAAACAGGATTCGGCAGAAGTTCAATACACCAACTCATATCAGCTCATCTATGCACACTGTTGTCTGTTTACATTTTTCTCATGCTCAAGTGTTGTTTATTTCCTTTTGGCTTTCTGCCAAGTCCAGCCGTACTGGGCTTTGACTGGCAATCTATACTGGCGGACGTGGTTACTGGTCGCTCAGTTCACAACTGTGATGTCAGGGTAGTCATTTTTTGTTCCTTTTAAAAGCTCCACTGCACGTCCACTAGAATTATCTCAACATGACCTCACACATTGTCAGGCACTTGCACAAATCAAGCCCCAAAATACAAGTTTTCAATGCACCATCTAGTAAATACATTTTAACTATGGATAAATTCAAAAATATAATCCTTGAAGCCAGTTCATTGCTCTATAAAAAACAACCAAACTCAATTAAAAAGCAGAACCCAAGCCATCATGCCATACCTCATCACCAGCAGTGACCTGCACGACGACTGGGAAGCCGTTGTGATTGGTGGACGTGTTGCTAAGGGTGTCCACGATGGTTCCCACCTTCTCTATCCTGTTCAAACAGGTGACTGGAGAACTCATCACCTCTCTGCATGTGGAGGAGAAACAGAGGGAGAGGGGGAACAGTGAGGATAAAAGAGGTGAAACAAAGAGAACAGGAAAATCAGAGAGTGAGAAAAAATAAAAGTGCAAGTCAAATTGAACTGAATATAATTTAATAATCATCCCATCAACATGGCTGTCACTCTGAGCCACCCACAGAAGGAGAGGAACTTACCTGGCGGTCAACCAGTGGGAGGTGGCAGGAGCCTCCCAGTGCAGGAAGGGAACACTCTGCAGCTTGATGTGGATATCATACAGACCCTGAAACAGAAAGAAACAGATTACAGTCTCTGCCTGTGCCTTAATATGCTAACTACAGTATGCACTATATACTTATCTTTGTATCTTTTTTTAGGGTTATTATACAAGCAATTGACATACTTGACTGCTTGACGTTTACTCACCTCCACAAAATAGTCTCCCACTATCTTGGCAGTCATGAGGACGAGCATGATAGGAAGACCATATGTGACATTTCCTGTAGCCTCCACCATGATGACAGTCAAACTGAGAGTCATCCTCACAATGCCACCTGTGAGGAGCAGTGCATCATAACAAAACATTTATCTTTCATCTTAGTCTGGATTTAACAGAAGAGATTTATAAATATAGATTATTTAAAAAGACAATTCCTGAGTATTGATAGCTCTCTACAGGTTGGTCATTTGTCACTGTGATTGGTCATAAAATTACTATGGTTCATTTCTTATTTCCTGTTAAGCAATAAAGACAAACTCAAATAACACCAACAAGGTAAAGAAAGTTACTTACCTAACTGAGCTGCAGCTCCAATCAGGGCATATTTACCAGGGTCTGCCCAGATCTAACAACACAGACAGCAAAGTCAAGCAGTAAGTCACAGTAGTCAAATCCACAGGGAAAAATCTATAAAAACAGCCGTGGCACAGGGTGATGCATTCCTGATCTAATCATGTACGTCTTGAGTTTAAGCTGGAGTGCAGAACTTAACATAAACAAACGTGCTTTACAATCAAGTCCATGCCAAATGAGTTCATACAATGCTGATTTAGCCTTTCGCTGCCAGGGAAAGCTCTCTGTATTTCACAGTATACCAGAGCTGTGGTGTCTGTGGTGACTTTCTCACACTGGTGAATTGGAAGTGATGTATTTTACATCAATCAGCCAGATTAAAAGGAGGCAGGAATCACGTTGGAAAATACTGAGAACGGTCTGTAGCTGTTTTAGTCTTTTGCTCATATGAATAATTTTTTTACACACATTTACCTCATTATTTAAACTTTGGCCATGTTTGATATGAACATCTGATGTTGTAATATAATATATGTGACAGACAGTAATGAAAAGCACAACAGGCCCCTTTAATTCAACTATAATATGGTCTGTTTTTATATGGGAACTGAAAAGTGTTGTTTTGTCCTCATCGATAATACACACACACTGACCGAGCCAGTAGATGTGATGGAGGCCAACAGTATCCCACACAGTCTTCCCCAGGCTGCTCCTATTAGCAGAGATGGGATGAAGACTCCAGCGGACACCGCCAGGCCGTACGTCCAACACGCCAGGAAGAAATAAGTCAGGGTGAACAAACCCAGGGTCAATGGGTTGTAGGTTCCTTTCAAGAGAGATGGATGATAAGTGAACACATTAATGTTTGCAGTTTTATACATCATGATCCAGTTTCCCTCCACTCGGGCCCATGTGCAAAATAAAAGGGAAGAGAAATGGCTTTTGCACATCATGTTTGTACATAATTATTTTTAGCAAGCTTGCCCTTACTGACAGCTTTTACCTGGCTGGTTGTGGAAGAGACTGCGCACACTTCTCTCAGGAGTGTTGAAGAAGGCCGTTGCCATGGAGTTATACTCCCCATCTGCACAGAACAACTGAGAGAGAGACAGAAAATGATAAGAGTGACGCAACAAGGGAAGGAAGCAGAGACACAAAGAGCCTTCCTTCCTCTTTTTGTGTTGTTGTTGAAGCTTTTACATGCCATCCACCAGCTGTTAGGCAGTTCAAAACAAGGCTTTAAGACAGATAAGAATTAGTGAAGGACTGCCAGCATTTGGTGTTGTCGTGTATCAGTGGTTCAAAGTGCAAGAAATGTAAACATGATGCCCTGAGGTTTAATCTTCGTCACAACTTCGTCACATGCCACTCCCATCTCTCTCCAAACATTTCTTCTCTCCTTATTCTCTCTGATAAGATGAGGACGTTCCCCCAACCAAGCTAACCAAGATGTAGCATTTATTATTCAAATCTATTTAGTATTGCCACTACTATTGTCACATGTAACAGTTGGTCTTTGTGGTAGGCTGTCTGTCCATTGTGATTGGATAGCTGGGTAAAAAGTGAGTGATGAGCATAGTTTTTTTGTTTTTACCCAACGTTTTGAAACTCCTGGTGACCTGGCAAAAATATTAAACGTGCAGCGCTCAGCACAGACTAAACACTGAACACCTCATTATACTGCTGATGTTTATAGCAGAATATAAATACGCAGCGTTCTCATTGCATGATTTAACAAAACAAAACAAAACAAAAAACACTTTTCTTGAGGCACAGTTGCAGCGGCACTTGTTGCCATCTTTTATTTTGATCTGTGATGACTCATTCTGACTGTTTACCATTTGTTTTGTTTTGTTTTTTGTCTTGTTTGTACTCCATACCACAATTGTGGTGAAGAGTTAATAAATATGACTATGACTATGACTTCTACCTGTTGTTATTTTTCTGACATAGTAGGCGTTCTTCTTCCTTTGGCATTTAACGGTAGACTAGAACATTTGTAATCATTAAGAGCCATATACATGCCGCATCTGTAACTGCCTAGAACATAAGAGGTCGGGCATTGAGCGCTACTCTTGTGCCTAATGTGTGCCAACTTTCAAAGGCGTGGAGGAAGGCTGCGTCTGAGGTTCCTAAGCGACCATAACCAGCACCATACAATGGCCTTCTTACCAGAAATACTGAGTACAGAGCTGATCTTCTTTCAGGAGTTGCTTTATACCTGTGTATGAGGCCAAAAATATTGTCTGTGAGAGATGTAAAGCTCTGGCAGTCCTCCTCAAAATGATCAACTTTTCCATATTTATCACAGACTGATATTTATGGAAAAGGGAAAGGATATCTGCCAGCTGTGATTGGTTGTTCCTCGTCACGTGACATGCAGTGCACACCGCTGCGTTACAAAAGGTGATCTCTGTACATCTCAAGGCACAGCTGTCGCAACCTGAAAAATAGGCGCTCGGGAATGTGTGCGTGCCGCAACGGCAGCTCTGGCATTTAAGCACTCCTGTCACACATCTACAACGCAGACAATGAATTTGAGGGCGCAACCAATGTGGCATGTGTACGGCCCCTTATGCTGCCCCGTCAGTTGAGATATTTCACTCAACAAAACAAATGCCAACCTCATGGTGAAAGAGATCATGAAAGTTTGTAGGATTCATCCTCTGGGGAACATGAAAGTCAGATACGTTGTACTCTTCTGAGATCCTTTTGCAGTATTGCTCTCATGGTGTTAACACTGGCAAAGCTTATTGAACTGAAACTGTTCTGTCTAACAAAACAGGAAGCACCAAGATTCACTGTGAGAAGGGCTCATCTTATGTGATTCTGCACTTGTGTCGGCCTAATTTGCTCAATCATGCTCATTAAAATGTCCATTTTGACGCCGTAAAGATAAGTGACTGTGCTTTTGACACCACGTAACTGTGACTTCCACAGCTTTATTACAGGTCATCATATAAACCAAGAAAAGTTGGAAGGGTATTGTTTTCAGACTGCTGACGTGTGTGTGTGTGTGTGTGTGTGTGT